GAAAACGCGGCCTCAAACTGCGGAAAAAAAAAGTTGAAGACATTATTTTAAATATAACACCATCCTTACTTAGTTAAGTAAGACAGTAATATAATACACTGGTACACTGTACAGATGCTTCCCATTATATAGTAGGTGTCTCCTGCATAACAACGCAGTGAACATTCAAAAATAATAGTTGAAGATATCTTATTCAAATAATCAAACGAAGACGAATACTAGTACTGTACATGTATGTAGATGTTGGTAAGCATTAATCGTCTCATGGAGTCTCAGAAGTCTAGTTAATTAAAGTCCGAACTGACTTAGATATTGTTATAATCAGTACATAGCTACTCGTTATATATTTTCTGACTACTGAATGTGACAGGCTGTGACTGTCGATTGTACCTGTAGTTAATTAGCCACTACGTATATATGTATACGTTATATATGTGTATTGCCACCGAGTACCTATCTACAATGTAAGTCTGGGGGCTATACGTGACCGCACGGTGGTGAACGTATCACAACCGAAAACATGTAAAACATTACATCGAACAGAGGGGGTAAAAATCAATATACCTATATCTTATAGACGACTTGTCAGTTTAATTGGGAGTAGAAACAATTGTATTACCTGGTACCTGTTTCCATTCTAACCGGATCTGATAGTTTATATAAGTAACTAATGTACCGGATCTGGTATTTATTGACCAAAACGATTATACTGTTCATTATAACTTGTGAACCGCTTTGAGACGACCTACGAACTAGGTTGTGATAAAGCGGTATACAAGAACCTCATATTATCATTACTGTTAATTATTAAAACCCCGACACTTCTGCTACATGTAGCACTGAATAAATGTATGCATGTATGTGTCCTACCCTGTAAGAAGGTTCTCTCAAATGGAACAAAATCAGCATCCTGTAAATCGAAAGCCAAACACGAAGTGACGATGAAATTATAAAGACATTTTACAAGGTTATGGAAACATGTTCCGTCATTCAATTTCCATTTGTTGTGTAGTTTTAACCATCCCCGATACTACAAGGGAATCCTCAATACTCCCATCCCCGATACTACAGGGTAATCCTCAATACTCCCATCCCCGATACTACAGGTAATCCTCAATACTCCAAGCTCCGAAACTACAGGGGAATCCTCATTACTCCCAACACCGATACTACAGGAAATCATCAATACCCCCACCCCCGATACTACAGGGAATCCTCAATACTCCCACCCCCGATAATACAGGGAATCCCCAATACTCCCATCCCCGATACTACAGGGAATCCTCAACACTCCCACCCCCAGTACTACAGGTAATCCTCAATACTCCCACCCCCGATACTACAGGGAATCCTCAATACTCCTATCCCCGATACTACAGGGAATCCTCAATACTCCTATCCTCGATACTTCAGGGAATCCTCAATACTCCCAACCCCGACACTACAGGAGAATTCACAATACTCCTATCCCCGATACTACAGGGAATCCTCAATACTCCCATCCCCGATACTACAGAGAATTCTCAATACTCCTATCCCCAATACTACAGGGGAATCCTCAGTATTCACATCCCCGATACTACAGGATAATCCTCAATACTCCCATCCTCGATACTTCACGGAATCCACAATACTCCCATCCCCGATACTACACGGAATTCCCCAATACTCCCATTCCTGATAATATAGGGGAATCCTCAATATTTCCATCCTCGATACTACAGGGGAATCCACAATTCTCCAATCCCCGATACTACAGGGAATTTCCCAATACTCCCATCCCCGATACCCCGATACTATAGGGAAATCCTCAATATTCCCATCCTCGATACTACAGGGAATCCTCAATATTCTCATCCCATATACTACAGGAGAATCCTCAATACTCCCATTCCCGATACTACAGGGGATTTCTCTATACTCCTATCCCCGATACTACAGGGGAATCATCAATACTCCCATCCCCGATACTACAGGGAATCCACAATACTCCCATCCCCGATACTACAGGGAATCATCAATACTCCCACCCCGATACTACAGGGCAATCCTCGATACTCCCATCCTAGATACTACAGGGGAATGCCCAATACTTCCATCCCCAATACTACAAGGAATCCTCAATACTCCCATCCCCGATACTACAGGGAATTCCCCAATACTCCCATCCCCGATACTACAGGGAATCCTCAATACTCCCATCCCCGATACTACAGGGAATTCCCCAATACTCCCATCTCCGATACTACAGGGGAATCCTCAATACTACCATCCCCGATACTACAGGGATTCCCCAATACTCCCATCCCCGATACTACAGGGAATTCCCCAATACTCCCATCCCCGATACTACAGGGGAATCCCCAATGCTCCCATCCCCGATAATATAGTGGAATCCTCAATATTTCCATCCTCGATACTACAAGGAATCCCCAATACTCCCATCTACGACACTACAGGGAATCCTCAATACTCCCATCCCCGATAATACAGAGAGTTCCCCATCACTCCCATCTACGATACTACAGGGAATCCTCATACTCCCATCCCCGATAATACAGAGAGTTCCCTATCACTCCCATCTACGATACTACAGGGAATCCTTAATACTCCCATCCCCGAAACTACAGGGAATCCTCAATACTCCCATCCCCGATACAACAGGGAATCCCCAATACTCCCATCCCCGATACTACAGGGAATCCTTAATACTCCCATCCCCGATACTACAGGGAATCCTTAATACTCCCATCCCCGATAATACAGGGAATCCTCAATACTCCCATCCCCGATACTACAGGGAATTCTTCAATACTCCCATCCCCGATACTACAGGGAATACATCAATTCTCCCATCCCCGATACTACAGGGAATTCCCCAATACTCCCATCCCCGATACTACAGGTTATCCTCAATCCTCCCATCCCCGATACTACAGGGAATTCCTCAATACTCCCATCCCCGATACTACAGGGGAATCCTCAATACTCCCATCCCCGATACTACAGGTTACCCTCGATACTCCCATCCCCGATACTACAGGGAATTCCTCAATACTCCCATCCCCGAAACTACAGGGAATTCCTCAATACTCCCATCCCCGATACTATAGGGAATTCCTCAATACTCCCATCCCCGATACAACTGGGAATCCCCCAATACTCCCATCCCCGATACTACAGTGAATTCCTCAATACTCCCATCCCCGATACAACTGGCAATTCCCCAATCCTCCCATCCCCGATACTACAGGGAATTACTCAATACTCCCATCCCCGATACTACAGGCTACCCTCGATACTCCCATCCCCGATACTACAGGGAATCATCAATACTCCCATCCCCGATACTACAGGGTACCCTCGATACTCCCATCCCCGATACTACAGGGGAATCATCAATACTCCCATCCCCGATACTACATGGAATTCCTCAATACTCCCATCCCCGATACAACTGGCAATTCCCCAATCCTCCCATCCCCGATACTACAGGGAATTCCTCAATACTCCCATCCCCGAAACTACAGGGAATTCCTCAATACTCCCATCCCCGAGACTACAGGGGAATCCTCAATACTCCCATCCCCGATACTACAGGGGAATCATCAATACTCCCATCCCCGATACTACAGGGTACCCTCGATACTCCCATCCCCGATACTACAGGGGAATCATCAATACTCCCATCCCCGATACTACATGGAATTCCTCAATACTCCCATCCCCGATACAACTGGGAATTCCCCAATACTCCCATCCCCGATACTACAGTGAATTCCTCAATACTCCCATCCCCGATACTATAGGGAATTCCTCAATACTCCCATCCCCGATACAACTGGGAATTCCCCAATACTCCCATCCCCGATACTACAGGGAATTCCTCAATACTACCATCCCCGATACTACAGGGAATTCCTCAATACTCCCATCCCCGATACTACAGGGGTTACTCCCACTTTCGCTCTCTACACCCCCGGCATATGTCATAGCAAAATTCATTGCTCAGTTAGCGCCAACTTGTTGATGCGACGAGGAGACAACTAGTTTGATTCTTTGATGTACATCAAAAGAATGTGTCGGTCGCTAAACTGTAAAATTGACTCCTTTTTTTTTTACCCGAGACCAATCAAATGACTAGCCGCGTGCCTTCAATTTTGCCATGGCATATTCTAGGGGTGCAGAGAGTATCAAACTGAAGAGTATGTTTCCGGAATTTTTTTTTATTAACAGCTTGTACATACCAGTAGACGTTAGCATGGTTCATATAGCACAACCAGTACAGTATTTATGTTTGATGTTTCGATGACTAGTACGATATGTAGTCGGTCACCTTTATTGGACAAAAACGTGATATAAATGTCACATATAAAATCTATACTGGTTGTGCTCCATGGACGTTTCTTCAATGTTAAGAAATAGAAAATGGAGCAGAATATAATCCGACTTTTGGTATGATTGTCAATAAGTGCTTACTGCATAATTATTTTACATGTCAAAGCTTCGTACAATAATACCAGCACGTTTGATTAACATTCGAAACACATTCGTAATAGATCATGCGTTACATGCAAGAAGTGTAATGTACATTGTACTATCCATTGTACCCCAAGGTTCAATGAATCAATGGTCTACATGTACCTGCAGCAAAAGATATCCAATTATGGTCTCTCAAAACGTTCAACAGCTGGAAGATGAAAAGTTTGTAATTCATATAATTGCTAATATGATTAATGAGCAACCGAAATATTAACTATTTATGCTAGACATTAAAAAGCTATTTATTATGACACTCGATACACAGTTCATTGCTTGGAGAGATTTATATCGGCGATAGTATTATTTACTTAAATACTTGACGCAGGTAATTAATAATCAATAGAAAAAACATATTAAACGTGTCCCACAAATATATGTTTCTACATTCGGGGATAGTTTGTGTGACGACAGAGGCCATTAGAAGGATTAGTGTATTATACACTGCCCTTGGTACCACTGTCAAGCGTATCGCGGAGCCTCGTTTGTCGCTGTCGGTACCACGACCAGCCAAACCTGTTGGTGTCCGTGGATCGCGGTAAGGGCCAAGCTCAATGTTGACAGTACGTACACTTATAGTCAGCTATTTAAATTAGTGGCGCACTGTGTATGTTCATTATGTGTGTTGAATGTTCGGTAGGTAAACTCTATCAATGCAGTAATACTTAGACCGGTGACACGAGTGAAGGTGTCACACATGTACACCTGCCCGGCTTGTTTCTGCCAATTTTCGTCCTTATGAACGTGTCTGATAATCGGCTAATACCCATAACGGTTACAATGTACTTTGGGAGATAATACCAGATACAAAACAAATGTTGTATTAAGTGGATTATATAACACGACGGTGATACTTTTAAGTAATTTTCGACAATATATATTTCAAACACACCGAGCGAAAACGATGTCGTTTTGTGTGTCTTACGGAAGACTGACTACAAATAACATCAAACACATCTACTCAACAAAAGAGTTCAAACCAAGTGTGCGCCGTTTTCAAGGGATATACAACCCGCCAACACATTCCCGTCATTTTTCTGAGACCTACCACGCAGCCTCGCTGAGGAAAAGGCTTTACGAGGATGATGGTGAATACGGCTATATACCACGTGCACCTGCGTTCAGGCAGGTGTCTGAGGATGAAGTGAACTCTGTTGTGGCCCGTTTAAGTCAACCCAACCCCATTAAGTTACATCCACGTGCTTGTAAGCAGTACCAACGAGGGTTTGCGAAATATAAGCACGAAGAGGAAGATCCCCCAGAGGAGTGCTTGAAGACCCCTCGCGACGTGAAAGAAATGGTTGCTAGGTTAAATGCGCCAACTGTATGTAAGAAAAGCCATTATTACCAGACAACGAACAGTGCCGAATATGACGACGATTTTGAAGACCTTCCACCCGTTTCAGACTGATGTTGGTTAACTTTTAATTCCCTTGGATGAAGAACTGTGTAATATTATTTAAAATGTTTTTCTTTGGACGTCTTATTTGCAATTCGACGTGGACTGCCGTTCGGGTGATTTCCTCAAAGCTTGACGCTGAGATATAATACTATTATAACTTTATAACCGGGGGAAGTGCATGGCATTGATAGTGTATTTTCTTGATTAGAAGTGATATATTCTTTCAACATTTTTGGAACCTTTGCTCAGCATTGCCTTTTATCATTTTATGTTTCTCATTGGATCTGTTCAGTGAGTGGGGTACTCATGTGTAAAGGAGGTTCAAAACGAGCGCGTGCTTATGTTGGTTCGTTTCGTTTGTTATATGTATAACCCGGCTGGCCACGCATATTAACAATATAATTATTTAATGAAGTTCACTCGTACAACTGGTGCCCATTATTCGCTGCATGACAACTTCCACATTCTCTATATCAATACAAAAATGGCTTATATTATCATAAAAATATGCAGGAATAACTTCGTGAAGTAAGTCGACACACATTGTCTATCTTTAGGCCATACGATGCTTCTTTTACAAACTTTTTGCAAAATTATGGACACAAACGATGAATTAGGATAAAGAGGTAGAATGATGGTATGATGTTGGCAATATCCTTGGTCTCTGACACAATATGTTTGTATGTGAGGGTTTGTGATATCATTGATCTCTAACACAATATGTTTGTATGTGAGGATTTGTGATATCATTGGTCTCTAACACAATATGTTTGAATGTGGGGGTTTGTGATATCATTGGTCTCTAACAGAATATGCTTGTATGTGAGGGTTTGTGACATCATTGGTCTCTAACACAATATGTTTGAATGTGAGGGTTTGTGATATCATTGGTCTCTAACACAATATGCTTGTATGTGAGGGATTGTGATATCATTGGTCTCTAACACAATATGCTTGTATGTGAGGGTTTGTGATATCATTGGTCTCTAACACAATATGTTTGTATGTGGGGGTTTGTGATATCATTGGTCTCTAACACAATATGTTTGTATGTGATGGTTTGTGATATCCTTAGTCTCTAACACATTATGTTTGTATGTGGGGGTTTGTGATATCCTTGGTCTCTAACACAAAATGTTTGTATGATAGGGTTTGTTATATCCTTGGATTCTAACACAATATATTTGTATATGCAGATTTGTGATATCCTTGGTCTCTTACACAATATGTTTGCTTGTGAGGGTTTGTGATGATCTCGTCAATTTACTTAGATGCTATCACTAGTCAAATCATATTTCGCTTTAACTGCAGTGCAAGGCATATATCGATCAATCGTAAGTAAAAGAAATAGACCAATAGCAATAGTATAATCAATTGATCGCGTGTACACAATATATATTATTATTTATTTTTAAACATTTCAATTAATCGGAATTCTTTTTATTATTACAAACAGGAATGTGAAAAGTATTATACATGTTTTATTATTATCATATATTTCTATATAACATGTTGACTGCGAATATATACATAGTTTTCTACAAAATAATAATGTTTTTTGTTTTTTCTTAGCCTAAATGGATTAATTTCCTTTACATGTGTCCACTTGCTAAGTGCAACAAATAATTCATAGTCTTATGCAATATTAAACCTTTTTTATGATCCGTTTATCCAAAATATGACCTCGATAGTAAGTCTTTCAAACTTTCATTGCATATACTATATCAAACCAATGACCTCTCTGGTCAGGTATGTACGGGTTTCATGAATGTACGTCAAATATTAAACCTTTATAGTTCGGATCAACTGACTGTCTCGAAAACGTTTACCGCGGATAAGTCGATGGCTAGTGTCCAGTGAAAGTTCACGGCTTAATGTATGCTAAGTCGTTTATGTATTATTCATGTATGTTAAGTTTTAAAATGGACAGGAAAACATTAATGTTTGGACAACAAACAACATCTTTAATGGGTTTTTAATCATATTTACAGAGCCCCCCTCCAGGGGATATTAGTTGCCAACACCCATTATCTACATACCAAGTACTTTTCTAAAAATATGATTACAGGTCAAGTTGGGAAAGAACAAAACATTTTCAGAAACGGAAATGGAAAATGTTAATACCATAAATATTCCGCTGTATAACAGTGAAAATGTCATTGAAAGTAAAATATTTTACCACGTCTATGTTGTAAAGGTAATGGTTAATTATCTATATCCGTGAATTATCATATATTTAATATGTATTTTGTGTCAGCGGGTCAAGTGTAACATTTTTGTATTTTATCTTACATATATTGCACAGCTACTTCAGAAAAAAAGGTACACTTATGCATAACCAGCTTTATGTTCAATCGTTGAATATTAAGAGGTTGAAATGTATTCATTTCCGATTATATCACAGAAAGAATTTTGATTGCTATTCTCGCTAACGTATTTAGCAGCGTCAGTTCACAAAGGATATTCATAGAGCGTTCTAACAGTAAGCCTTTAACAGTACCCAAAACGAACCATGAGTAAATGTTTAAGGCCCATGTGGTAATGTTAATATAACTAAGATAAAAAGAAATCAATGCAAAAATCTACCAGATAAAAAGGAATGTCTTTTAAAAGTATATCATACATAAAAAGACGCATGCTTGAATGTATTGACACGGCTGATAGACGGGGTATTAAAGTTATTGATATTATATAATGATTAGAACTGTCACAGACAAAAAATACTGTCTGTGACATTCCAATACACCGGATAACTGTATAGTGACTTCATCGCCTAACCTTAACCGTGACGTCAGCGTGTGAACCCTAGCGTTTTAAACAACCTGCGATCCTAGTGTTAATACAGCGCCGGTTACCTATCGTGATATAGACTGATCTTATTTTGAATACAACCTATGACCAAACCGAAATACTTTTTGCCATCTAGTACGTATTCGATACAGCAAGCAACATACCCAATCTCTTAGAAAAAAGTAAAGAAAAAGAGAAGAGAACAATAAGACTAGGGCAATATCGTAGTAAGTCATGGGCTTTATATCTGGTGGTATGTACAATGTATGTAACAAATATGAGATAGGCCAATGAGCACATACATGAAACGTAAACGCAATGTGAAAAAAAAATGTTCAACGTTTGACGCTGACCTTAAAACATCGACGCCTAAACCCTTAACATCTAAATGTTGACTAAGGCAGCCATCTTCCATAGCCTGGTTAGTAAGTGTTTCATAATTCATACCATTTCCATGGATTCATCAATACAATACTTAAGTATATTTGCTGACGTTCACTAAAGACGTGTATGCACAACAAATGTGAAGTAATGAATCGCCGGTTTACATAGAGATGAAAATAGATTTGATTTCACATAAGTATTGATCGTAATTAACGGAAGAACATGGAATTTTATGGATTGAAGCTGTGCTTTTCAAAAGAATAATGCAGTATGAATGGGTACAACTTACTTACTTATGAGCTGCATATGAATTGATTGTAAGCCTTTGTTGTTTATCAGAACTAATACTATTATCCATATGTTGTAAAGCGCATGAGAGTAATTTTACCAATTATATAGGGCGCTATATAAATGTTATATATTATTATTTAATATTATAACGGTATTCGCTGTTACACCTGCTTATGAATCATGTAAGTAGCTTGCCCCATTCATGCTGTACACATCTGGAAAATGTCAGCCCCGGTCTTTATAAGACACTTGATAAAACTGTTAAACGGCCAATAACAGTGTAACCAAAAACAATTAAGTAACAAGTAAATAAAAAGAAGAAGAAAAAAAGTAAGAGAATAATTTAGTAATCGTCTTTTACTTTGTTTCCCGGATCCGTTGTGGAACTCCCGTATGGTGACTTTGAAAACACAATGGTACACTGATAACGGGATAACTCAATAACACGTCCTACCTCGATCTTGTCTCACCATATAAGATATGTATTTTAGGTTTATCTTACACATTTCATGTTTCAACAATTTGACCAACAACGTTACTGATATCATCTTATTAATTGAATTAGCGAGGTACGGAGCTCTCAATTGGGAATATCTTGTGTTTAATTGGGAACTTGTTAATGCAATCACTAGATAAACATATATCAATACCTGTAATACGAACCAATTATAGCGATTTATCAGTAATGAATTACACTTTACGTTCCATGGGCTATTTCTGTATGGTAAAAGGTCGTCGCTATGTATCGCAATTCTTGTTAGGTAGATTTACAATGATATAGTTTTGTCCTGATGTAGTTATAAAGGTATATGTACATTATTCGACTATTGCGTCGGATCGTTGTATCAGTAATTAAGGCTTGGACAATTACCTTACTCTCCTATTTCATGCTCAATTAGAAGTTATAGACGTTGTCGTTTTTGTATAAAGAACAATGTAGCTGGTTGGATAGTAATTGTCCATTATAGGCTTTTACAGACATTTAGATAAAAGAGCGACCGAGTCATTGTAAAGAAAGCAATTATGCCATATGAATGAAATAAAATTATTTGGATTCATTTTTCGAGTGTATATCCATCAGGGCATTACTAGTTACGTGGTTAGGTCTCAATTTGCAAGCAATTAACAAAAGTAGACATTCTTAGCAACACAGTTTATCACTAAATATCGACTATGTACTATTTGAACTCGATCGTGTCAGGCCCATTGCAGTTACTACTACATTACTTTAGTCTGGAGTATGACATGCTTCAAGATCCTCGTCAATATGTTAGTGGAGTTACTTGAGGTTGTTTCTTTTTTTGTGACGTCGACGGCAATATCTATGGGTTGGGTTGTCAAACGTTCTGCATATTTCAGCTTTTCTGTCATGGCCCGACTTACTTTTCTGTTAAAGATAATATATGCATCGACATATTGTTGTTTCCACCTTTAGATATGATAGGTTGTGGTCAGTGTAAGTATTGGCTCTCTCGTTGATCAAGTATGTAAGTTGACAACTACCAAAACTGTAAATTTGTTCGCATTTAAGTGATTTGACATGCATACCTATATAGATGCCCAACTCATTAAATAAACAAATAACAATTTCGATAGCTATAAATGTACATGCCTATGTACTATTTGTAACAAAAGGGAAAATACAGTTTGGTTTTGAAATAACGAGTAACCTTCCAACTTTACTTAATGGAAGTTTGAATGTAGATTATGTATCTCATTATATTTATTATTACTCACTTGTTGATAACTTCAAATAAAATGTTTAATATTACTGAGCCGATTTCCCCACCGCCTATAAGTGAAGGTATGATATAACTACGTTGGGTTAGTGAATACAATATTGTTTAAACTAAACTAATGAACACATGCGAATAATAAAATAATAATAATAAATATTTTATAAACGTGTCTGTATGTTTATGTGCTCAAATGAAAAGATATTTTATGAAGAAAATTTGTATTGCAAGGGAGGTAACTGGAATTAAAAGCAGTCATAGTCTGATATAATGTCATTAAGTATTTACTTTGAATTCAGCTCATCAAATTGAAATACTGAATTGAGTAAACGAGTTATAATAAAAAAAACTGTGTATTGTCGCATATATATATATATTTATGCTTCTACACTCATCACAAGAAACAATTCGAACCACCAAATTAAATGAAAATGGCCACCAGTATGGTGACATTTGAATTTATTCCAATAAAATCACTTTAATGACTCTAACCATAAAAAAACATATTACTTGAAAGAAATTAAAACATAGGAGCAACTACCACAGATAAACAGAAAATGCCACAATGGCTGCTGAATGAAGAAGGGGACGCGATCCCTAAAACCAGTTGACCAATTACTGACCAGCATAAATTAATACTGATGACTTCATCAGCAGCCAGTAACTAGCCTGCATCGAGACACACTCGGAGCATACGCATAGTATCTACAGTACACTACAATTGAAAATAATAAATATCTAATCTACCAAAATAATTATTCCAAAAAAATAAAGGCGCCTAATAATTAAAAATGTTTCAACTTGTTTTGGTATTACGAGCATAAATTAAGCTAATTGCTTAGCTGCCTTTTATGCTTCTACACTCATCACAAGAAACAATTCGAACCACCAAATTGAATGAAAATGGCCACCAAAATGGTGACATTGGAATTTATTCCAATAGAGCCACTTTACTGAATCTTACCATAAAAATCATATTACTTGAAAGAAATTAAAACATAGAGTAGTTGCAATGTTACAAACATAGGAGCAACTACCACAGAATCTCAACAAAAAAATGTCAGCTAGCCTAAGTGGGGGTGGCAAAAATAACGCCACAAAGACACTTCACCTTATACATAGTATAAGAGGTAATCCCACTGGAGGTGGACAAATTGTCGGAGCAATCCGTTTCTTTCTTAAATACAGAAAATCACAGAACACTTCCATTACATTAAAGAAAATCAGAAATATTATAGGATATAATTAAAATTCAAAACAATAAGCCCCTCGGCCAGAGTGCGAAGGTAGAATTAACACTGACCACATCGCTGGTCATTGATACTGCGTATGTGCGAACGACGAA